TTATTTACTTTTAGGTTGTTTGTTGTCTCAGATGTCAATATATTTTAGAAAAGTTATTTATAACTTAAGATATATTATGCCTATAATGAAATATAAAATAATTTTGATTTCAAATTACATCAATCGATATAAAGATAATCTTTGAAGTCTCATGCATATATATAAATTTCACAAAATAAATCAAATTAAAGTAATATTAATTATCATTTAAATGTGCACGTATTTTCATAATATTTATCAAGTTATATGTTTCTTTAAAATATAGTAGAAAATAAAGCAATAATCAGTAGGAAGTTACATACTTAAGTAACTCATATATTTCTGGAGATTCATGAACACATATCAATATTTACAATAACTTAAATATTTTATAAATTCTAATTAATTTTATATCTTAGATTTATTGAATGATAAACTGAAATTATTTTAAATAATCTTAAAAATGAGAATTCGGATTTGCTTTGGTATTTTTATCATGGTTATATTAAGTTACACAAACATAAAATGTTTTTAAAAAATTTAAAATTAAGAAACATATAATTTAAATAATGATAGAATATAACATATCTATGTCATTAAAGTATATAGTGGTATGATATTTTAAAATATTTTGTAATTATTTGATTAAAAGATGTTTATTGTTAAAAATTATTTTAATTTCTCTTAAAAATAAGCAGTAAAAATTGTGGTTGTATTTGAGAAATCATATTATATAAGTAAAATTTAATTTATAGATATTTTTTTTTGCTTTAGTTGAAAGATACTCTAGTCAACTAAATATATGAAAATAAATAAAATATTCAATAATTTTAATTAAAACTATTTTAGTTAATAAAAACATATACTTGTTTATGTTACTTAAAATTATGTTTAAAAGTAATTTTTTTTTTCAAATATCAAAATTATATGTATGAATTTTTTGTTATGAAATCACATTATATAAAAATATATATTTTCATATAAGAAAATACAGATATAAAGAAATTATTTTATTAATTAAAAAGTACATTTTATGTTATTTAAAATATTTTTAATGGATGTTACTATTTTGTTAATTTTCCCTTTTAATGAAATCATATTATATAAACATATATTTTCGTTTTTAATTTTTCCTTTTAAATTTTATAGATGTTTTTTTCTATTATAAATTTTAGTTGGAAATTTTTAAAAAGGAACTAAATACAAAATTAATAATACTATTTTACTATTTTGATAGTATATTATTATTTTGTGAACTTTCCTTTTTAATGAAATCATATTATATAAACATATATTTTCGTTTTTAAATTTAATATTTTTTTTATTATAAAAGTTATTTGGAATGTTTTAAAAAGGAAACTAAACATAAAATTAATAATATTATTTAAATATACTATTGCAATATATTTATCAAGGGTATCATAGTAATCAACCAGTGTAAGAGTCAACGTGAGCGTGCCACATAGGAAACTGACTTCTCAAATAATATTATAGAGATATATATATTAAAATTGTAAAACACCAAAATACAATAAAAATCATCTAAAGATTTATTATTACTTTTTTATTAGATAAGATATAATTTTTATTCTGTTTTCTTGTTTTTTACATTTATAACTTTTTGATAATTTTTATTACAGGTAAATCTTTAGATAATTTTTGTTATATTTTTTGAGTTTTTACATTTTAAATTTATACATATAAAAAGTTGATTTTAAAAGGATAACCAATCAGACTCATATATTTACAGATTTGTTTTTTTTTTTAAATGCTAGTTTTGAAAATTAAAATTATGAACTTTTAGATAACGTTATTATATTTAGAATTTTTTTTTTTTATTTTTAGTGATAAAATCCATAAACTAAAGATTTACCGGTAGTACTGGTAATTATGACCGGTGAGAATTTAATTCATTAAATAAAGTTGGAGTTTTCTTGTTAAATACTTAATTTAGGAATTTTTATCCAAAACAAATCTATTTAAGAGGTCTTAATGTTAAAAATCCTAATAACAATTCTATTCGGTTTCTTAAATATAATAGAACACAATCTTATATAACTGTGCGTATACAATATATCAATATATGTTAGTTTTACAAAATTCAAAATTCTTTATATACAAAAAATATATGTTTTTTATAGATATCTAAACAATTCAAATAAATATTTTTTATACTTATAAAGTTAATAAAAACAAGAGGTGAAAGTGAGAAAGGAAAATATAGAAAATAATACACAAATATCATAGCCTAATGAATACTAAGATTATATTGTTGTTTTTTCTGTTTATTGTGTGTATCCGGCTAAATTTCTCTTTTTATAAATCGGTTTCATTCAATATTTATTCTTAAGTAAAACGCTATTCTTGAGAGAATACCAGATGGGTGTTAGACACATGGCTTCACTGTTGTTTCTTTGTCTGAAACATGGCTTCACTGTTGTTTTTTCTTTGTACATACAAGCATTCGGCTAACATAGCTCTTGTGACCAAATTTTGATTTGGTACTACTACATTTACATCTTACCAACAAAAACAAAAATCAAACAAAATATTAAAACAATTGGGAAAAAGGAGATAAAGATACACACAATTGATATAGGAGGTGCACACAGTCACACATGCTTACTTTACCGAAATCAAACCGAAAATTTACGAGTCCGGTTTGGATAAGTTATAGTATGATAACAAATCAAATTAGACCAAACGAAACCAGTGTTTCGGTTTGTTGGCCAAAACAGGTTTTACCATAAAGTTTCTTTTTAGCTTATTTTACCTGAGAAGCAAGCAAGTATGATGCTTTTTCCTGGATAACCTTCCATGCCTCCTTCACGTGCTTCGCCTCCGTCAATGGTGCTCCTATGGCGAAACGTAGTACGAATTTTCCTGACAATGTCTGTTTGCCACGGAAACCAATACATATATAGAAACCTTAGTGTAAGAACATTACCCAACAAGAAGAACAAAAGAGAGAGACCTACAGTGTGAGAAATGAAGAGTTTCCCTGAAGAGTTCACTGCCTCTAGGAGGTTGCGGTTTCGGTTGTTGCATGTCTTTTCATCGTTATCAACAGGTACCATACGGAAACAAACCAGAGAAAAGATGCTAGGAGTCACAACCTGCCACACACAAAACAAAAACACACGTTATAAATCTCCTTTCCAAAAGGATTTTTGAGCATTAATTTCACAGTTACCTCGAAGTTAGGATCCTGAGAGACCAGCTGTTCCAGATCTTTAGCCAGTTTGATATGGTTTCTTATATAGCTCTTCAAGGTCTCAGCTCCATAGAGCCTTAAAACCATCCATAGTTTCAATGATCTAGTAAGATTTGAATAAGCAAACAAAATGATTCGCAAAATAATGTATATATATGCAGATGGTTCCTGCAGAACTTTAAATAACCTGAATCTTCTTCCGAGAGGGATTTGCCAATCTTTGTAGTCAACAACCAGGTTTGCCTGAGAGGGCTGCCAAAAACAAAACAAAAATGTTGATAAAAAGACTAGGTAATTACCTGAATTAAGAAATTAAAATAATTTCATACCTTATTTTTGAGATACTCTGGATTTGTTGAAAGAGCTTCAGTGAGAGCATACTGATCCTATTTTCACAAGAACTTTAATTTTCAGTAACCAAAGAGAAGAAAGTAAGACTAAAATAAATAGGGCATCATAATGTACCTTCACCCAAAGTAGGGAACAATCGAAGTTAGTGAGGAACCATTTGTGAGCATTCATATTAAAAGAGTCTGCAGTTTCTACTCCGTCAAGGTACTGTCGATACTCTGGACATATACAAGCACTTCCAGCATACGCTGCATCCACGTGAAACCAAATCTCATTGCTCTGAGAATACAGTAAAATATCATCAGCTTCTATGCTATTAAATTCTCTACAAAGATTGTCAGAGAGGTGAAATAAATAAACCTTTGCAATCTTTCCCAGTGCTGCCAGTGGATCAACTGCTGTTGAAGAAGTTGTTCCAACCTGCAAACGAGTCTTTCAGAAAACGCATGCTTCCGAGAGTAAGTAAGTAACATGTTAGCTAGTGCTTCTTACAGTGCCACATAAGAAGAATGGAATCAATCCAGCTTCAAGATCCTTAGAAACAGCTTCTTGAAGAGATTCTGGACGCAGAGCGTAATTTGTAGAGGAATCTGTTTTCAGCATTCTGCAATTCTCTAAATGTATTCCTGCTATCTATCAAAAGAACAATCAATAACCAGTGAGATTTTTCCGCAAAACTTGTTTGATCAAAATCTGCAAAACTTCACCTGGCAAGCTTTCAGTAAAGATGAATGTGTCTGGTCAGAGGAGTAGACAACAAGCTTCTCAAGCGCCTTCTTTCCAACGCTTCTTAAGACCTTGTCGCGGGCAGCAATCAAAACAACAAGAATAGCTTCACTAGCTGTCCCTTGGATGACTCCACCTCCGTTTCCTACCACAAGACAACTTAAGCTAAGAAAAAAAGGATTGATTGATCTGACAAGATTTATGTCAAAAGTATAACCTTTGGAGAGAAACTGGTCGGGCAGGTTGAGAAGTTTGGCAAACCAATCAAGAACGATCGTTTCGAGCTCAGTGGCAGCAGGAGAAGCAACCCAGCTAAAACCAATAATATTAAGACCAGCACTCAACATCTCACCCAAGAACCCTGCAACGCTGCTGTTAGCAGGGTAATAAGCAAAGAAATTAGGGCTTTGCCAATGTGTAACTCCAGGCAATATCTTCGCCTTAACATCTGCAAGCAAACAAAAACTCACATCATATCTCTCTCTATGCTCAACCAGAAAACTGGAATAGAGGTATCCAGTTAAATCACCATCAAGAACTTGTTCCAGGGTTTCAGGTTGGTCTGGTGCTGAATCAGGCAAAAGGTTGTGAAGATAACCAGTCTGTTAAATGAAACAAGAGAGAGATTCAAAACCTAATGTGACGACGACAATGCCAGTTTGGTTAAACCCTTTGACATATATAGAGCAACTTTTCACATAAAGTATGAAACTTTTTTTCTCAAAGCCTACCTACCTCTTCTTACAAGTTCTCTACATAACACTGAATAAAACCAACTTTCACATAAAAAGTATGAAACTTTTTTCAAAGCCTAACTTCGAGCTCTACATCAAATTGAAAAGAAAGTGAACCTGAACTTGGCTAAGGACAGGGAAAGTCTCGATGGTTTTGTAATAATCGGCAATGAAATCCACCATTCGATGTCCGTACTCTCTCAGTTGCTCAGAGTCCATCGGCCTCAACGCATTGCTACCACCATTTTCCCTGTTTCCATTCAATACAGAAATAAAAACGAATTACTCGTACGAAAAGTGGGTTTTTGGATTTCCAAGAACATACATCTTTTGTAGTTTACGTCCCAGGACAGGAGCTTTCTAAAATCTGAATGGTTTGGGTACAGTCGCCTAGATATTTCTTAAACTTTTTTTTAGGATACCATGAACATTTGTAACCACTGTTTTTACGCCTCACCTTGATCCGCGGTCGGACAAAGTGACCAGCTAAAATCCACTTTCGATTTTTACATTTTAATAAATATCCACTAACTAAAACTTGTTAAAATTCTTAAACATGTTAACTCGCCTACCAGTTGAAGGATCAGGTGAACTACTAAGTAATTTTTTAATTTAATTTTCTTAAAAATTCTTAATTATTTTGTTAAGTATATTTTATATTCCAAATTAGAGACTAGGTTTCTATATTTTCTTGATTTTTCGTGAAATTATCGGTTTTTAGTGCTCCATATACTCAATATTTCTTTCTATTTTTTTCCTCGTGAATATTATTTGTTTTAGTCTATTAGGATCTAACTTCTATCATATATAATGCTCAAAAAAAAACTTCTATATATTGTCTTTTTATATCTTTTTCGTGAATGAAATGATTTTATCTTGTTTTCTTGCTTTTATATATTTCGAAATAATAATATTGTACTGTGAATTAAATTTATTGATCTTGTTTAATTTTGTAAAATACTATAATCACATATAATATTGACTAATTTGTTTTATTTTAATACTAGTGGTATACCGGTGCTACACGCCAGTTTTTCTAACATTATTTAATTATTTTGATACATAATTTAAATATATGGTTTCATTGTTAATACACATTTATAAAATTTTATAAATTTAAACAATATTTTCATGGTATCTTAGAAAATAAACTATTTATCGAAGACATGAAGATATAAACTATATTTCATATACTATAATTTGATTGCCCCTCTTACATACTATAATTTGTTCGTTCATGTGTTTCTTAAAAATATACCAAACTATGTATATAATTTTCATGTTTTACGTTTTTTGTTACACTATTTTTTAGTGATTTGCATCACACAAGCGGTACTTGAATGATTATGATACATTTTAATGGGTCAGTAAAAAAAAAAATAGATACACTAACCTATAAAAATATAAATAAATGATTCAACCCAAAGAAAATCACAAAAAGTATGTGCCCCATGGAATTTTTTTCCATATAGAGGAAATATATTTATTGAAGACATGAAAATATATTAATTTGATGATCATGTTAGCGTAATTGATTTTAGGGAAATTTGCTAAATATGACTCATAACATGATTTTGATTACAAATCTATACCCAAACTTGAATAAAATGCAAAATTAACCTAAAAGCCTTGTGAAATTACAGTAAGCCCTTTGTGACAAAAAAAAATAAGAAGTCATTTTTACAAATATAACCCCAGTAAGTCTGAGATGTTAGAAGTCGTCTGAGATGTTAGAAGTCGTCTAGACGAATTCCAGGTTAGTCGTCTGGTGTAGTTGAGCTTAAAACTAATTTTTGAATTTTTTAAAAATATTTTTAAAAGTGAAAAACTAAGATTATGTAATTATAAACAATTTTAAGTAAAGAAAATTAAGATATAATGAAATTAAATAGTTTTCAACATTGATGAGTGAAAGTAATTGGTCATGATATTCTTGGTTTTAGGGTTTGGCAACTTATGTTGTAGTACTGTATGTATTCTTAGGGTTAGATTTTGGAAAGCTTGAATATTTTTTTTGAAAAATTAAATGTTTACCTATATGTATTTATTTCTGTGTATAATTAACACTTTTTAAGTTTAATTTGATTTTATGAAGTGTTTAGTTAGTTAATTAAGTTTAGAGGCTATGTTTAGGGTCTAGACGACTAACTTGTGAGTCTTCTGGTGAATAATTTAAACCAGACGACTTACATGTAAGTCGTCCTAATATTCCCGCCTAATATTTATTTTCCCGTTTAAATATTTTAGTTTCCCGCTAAAAATATTTTGGTTTCCTGGTAAATATATTAAGTCTTCTGGACGATTTACAAGTAAGTCATCTGAATCGAAAATATTACCTAATTACACTTTTTGTCTCTTTATATAAAGAAAAATTTACACATTCTCTCTTCTCCTCTCAAATGGCTACAACAAAAATGTAATGTTCATCATTCTAAAACTCTCCAACCTCTCTCTAATCCTTTTGAACTTATAAACACCAAACTTTATATCAATTTATTATTTTTGTCTCATGTGTTTCTCATTAATTTATCTTATTTTTGCAGGTTTTTCATCCCATGGTTTTCATCTTTCACTCATTTAAAGGTAAATCTATTAATTTTAGATATGTATTTTTGTGTGTTCTATAAAGGTAGATTTTTCTCTGTTTTAAAGTCATTTGAACGTTCTTGGATATGCAGATTTTTTATATCTGGATTTGGATATGCAGGTTTTTCAGATCTGGAAGACTTTCCAGGATGTCGTCCAGACAACTTCCAGGAAGTCTTCCGGCAGAGTCTTCTCCCATGTCTCTCTCTTTCATAACAGATCTCAGTGTTTTGGTAAGTTTTTATGTCTGATTTTTCTTCATTTGGTAACTCATGTTGCATAAAGTTCTTATCTTTTTCCCAAACTAAAACTCTCCAAACCCACTCTAATCTCTTTGACTTGAAAACACCACACTTTTTATGAATTCTTCAGTTTTGTCTCATGTCTTTCTCACTAATCTATTTTTTTTTTGCAGATTTTTCAGATTTGGGTTTGATATACATGTTTTTCAGATCTGTATCAGACTTTGGGAGACTTATGGAAAGTCTTTTCGAAAGTTTTCTAAAATATAATGCGGTAGATGACTCCAGAAAGTCTTCCCGACGACTTCCAGAAAATCTTCCAGACGACTTCCAAGAAGTCTTCTAGACAACTAAAATATAATGATTTATAATCTTTTGTTCGTGGTCTATTTTGTGATTTGCATGTGTACTCCTTTAATTGTGATTCTTTTGTAAAATCAGTAATAATGTTTCCCAAGATGTAATATGTGTTAACAATATGTTTATATATTTACAAATCAATGAAATAATAAACTTCAATAGCCTTCTTCTCATCTTTGGATCTCTCATATGCAATAATAAACTTCAATGATCTTCTTCTCATCTTAATAAACCAGAATTTTGGTAGCCTCATATTGGTACAACATTTTAACCCTTCTTCCAACTCATAACAATAATCATCATTGGTGTCTATAACAATAATATTTAAGAGATGGAAACAAACATAGTAACTAGTCAAAGTATATCACACTGTTTACAAGTTTGTGTTGAAAAACTTAATCAAATTTAGTAAAACTAAGGGAGAAAACATATTTTGAAAATATGAGTTTTACATATCTTAAAGTTACTTAACACTCAGTTATTCAAAAACTAGCATAGAATATTTAAAAAATAGCGTAGAAGTCTTTTCAGATCAACCAGAAACTTTAATTAACATGAAGGTTGGTAACCTCATAAGTATCACTAATTAAGTTATAAATTTCATTCAGTAGCCGAAATTTTGACTAATATACATGAATTAACAAAAAAGTATTAAAAAGTATTTATAGCTTTAGAGAAAATGAAAGTTTATTAAACACGCAGACGACTTCCACGGAGGTCGTCTAGACGACTTCTAGGAAGTCATCCACTTAGATTATTTTGCAATTGAAATTTAACCTAGAGGACTTACAGGGAAAACATGTTAGTTTTGCATTTGACCGGAATGTGTTAGAATTTTGACTTTTCCTGGGCGACTTACATGTAAGTCATCCAATAGAAAATTAAAAAAAATAATATTTGATTTTTTTAGACAAGAGGTTAATTTTGCAATTGAAATATTAAACAAATTTTTTTTCTAGACGACTTACATGTAAGACGTCCGTTTGTCCGACGACTTACACGTAAGTTGTCCAAGATAAGCAAGGTTTGACCAGAGTCTCGGAATAAAATCATGGACGACTTACATGTAACTCGCAGACGGACGGCTTACATGTAAGTCGTCTAGTAAATTTTTTTTTTTAAATTTCAATTGCAAAACTAACCTGAGACGACTTACATGTAAGTCATCTAGAAAAAATAAAATATTATTTTTTTAATTTTCTACTAGACGACTTACACGTAAG